TTTGACGATTGTACTAACCATGAAACTCAATATATGTTTAGACTTTTCATGCTTAAGCTAAAGCTTACGTTTATTTTTAAATTTAGAATATGCTTCAAAGCTTCAAAGGTCAAGCTTTATGCACTGGGTCCGCAGTCAGAACGGTAGGTTAATATATATTGAAAAAAAACATGATGAAAATAATAGGCATGAACGTAATAAATGTACATAATTACTATGGCAAAAATACTTAATTAAGTTAAATACCAAATGTTGTGTTACAATTACCGTTTATAAATAATATGAAATTTTTTTTTTTCCCTAAATAATGAATCTGGAGATTTTACCATTATTACAGTATTACCGTTATGTAAAGCAATAAAAAGATGAAAAATCTTGGATATAGCGATCATCATTTGATCACAAAGTTTTCCCATTTAATTGTTTAAAAAAAAAAAAAAAATTGGACGGGTAAATATATAAAAAGTTCGTAATTGTTTATTAATAATTTATTGATAATAAATAATTGATGCATCTATAAAATTGTCGTATAATAATAATTATATCAAAGATTTCACTTTTTTTTAATAACGCCTCATACAAATAAATCATAAAAAAAGTATAGATATTTATTTTAAAATATAGTATCATGCTGGCAAAACTTACCTTAATTTGTGTAATCCATTCTATTGTTGAATAAGATAAATAAAAGAGACCATTGCTATTATGATAATACAATAGTAGTGAACCTAAAAATAATTACTTTGTTCCCAAAAAATCCTTCAGTCCCAAAATAGATTCCAGATTTTATGTCTGGTGATGTGCTGGTAAATTATCTCTCAATGAAGAACCTCCTCATGATAATATTTTGGAGGCAATTAACAAACTTTTAATTAATTGTAATTCTCACACTATTCTCACAAAAAAATTTTGTCAATATCAATATTACGAAAAAAAATTAAAATCCAAAATTAACTTTAAACAACAAATTTATATATTATCGGTTTGACGAGATCGTTCATGCAATTTTTGTAATAAACTCCCGTTACTATCCAATAATGAGATAACCGATCTATAAAATAACAATTATGTAAAATATGCATGAACTTTTAATTCCCAACTTAATTTAATATATATTTATATATATATATATATAGCAATTTTCAAAAAAAAATTCATATATTTGTGTATAAAAAGAAAAAGTTCTTCAGTGAACTATTCACCGTTCATAGGTGATAGGTACACTGTTCGACGCCTTCCAAGAAAATGTAATCCCTCGAATTTTATGTTATAGGTAGTTTTATTCGTCCAAAAATTTCACACCAAATTAAAATTAAATTTAGATTAAAATTTTAAGATTTTTATTTATTATTTATTTATATTGTTGCAATAATTTATGTAAAGTTCGAAAACCCTAAACTGATTCTCATATTATGTAATATGTATTAATAATCGTTTCATAATTGTTAAGTTCATAAATTAATTACGTTTCGCATATACTGTGTTTTAATTAGGCCTTTCCGCTCATTCAATTAGAAATTCAGTTAAATAATCATTTTATTTCGATATGTTTTTTTATTCGGTTAGAAATATTCGATATTAACATTTAACATTATATAGATAAAAATTTATTATTTCTTACTGTTCGAAGTTATTATAACCTTTTATATAAAATTATTATTTATCCTTGAAGGAAGAATATAATGAGTAAAATATCTCGCTCTTTATAAAAAATCATAAGCGCACACAAAAGAATAAATATTGAGAAAAAACATTATGAAATAAACTCCGTATAAAAAACTTGCAATTTATGTACATTGGCACATTGAAAAACTTATTTAATCAACGATTCGAAATTATGATATAGAGAATTAATAAATGAAATAAAAAAAAAATTAACGAGTAACGACGTATGTAAATAATTTCTAAAATCTTTTCCATAGAATTGATTTATAAAATGTATTTAGTTTTAAAATATAAACTTGATTCGGAACTTGCTTGGGTTTATATTCAAAATCGTGTTTATTTATTGAAATATATCTATTTTCAACGCGATATGACATAATAAATTCTTAGTATATTAGGATTTATTTTGATATATCCGATATATCCGTACTAAATTAATTTGATTTGTACATAAGCAATCGTGACTGGTTGGTTCCAGAGAAAATAGCTGCTTTGTGCTGGTTACAATTGATCGGTAAATATGATATACTTACTATATAGATAGACCACATGACATTATAATTACTGCGTCACAAATGCTTAACGCAGTTGCGCTTTTAACCTAATTTTTAAAACTTGAAATTTGAATATAAAAAAAAATTCATAAATTCATTTCGTTACGGAAGTTGGGAACTATTAAAATATCTATCCGAAAAAATAAAATTTATGCTTTAATAAAAAAGCTTGGACTTTTGCATTTCGGAAAAATAAAAAAAAATTAAGAAAATTAATACGTCTACTCCTTTTGATTAGTGTGTCTCTTTAGGAAAATCATGTCTTCACTTTATTCTCTATTAATAGAAACTAATGAAAAAACATTGTAATCATGTATACAGTCATACCAAAATGATTATGCGCTATAAATTATTTCTATACCGACAATACTGACATTTCAATAATTCTTTTATTATAAATCTATTACACTAATGAGTATCTAGTATTTTTTTTTGCCGTTTAATAAACTATGTGATCAGTATGATAAGCTATAGAAATTATAGTTTAATTGAATAGTTACAATTTATTGATTTTTATTGGTTTGCTATTAATATTATAATACATCTTAATACATTCACGTTCAGTTTTTAACTAATATTTATAGTTACATTACAATTAGTGATATGAACTTTCATTCCCTCCAAATCAAGAGTCAGGAAAGAAGAAAAAAATAGTTTCATCATACACAAATACACAAAAGTCTGAATTATATAGTGAACTAGATGCCCGTGTCTAGGATGATAAAAAGTTATTTACTATATACTATACGTAGTAAACAAATGGGTTATCATCCGAAGAATAATAACCCACCCAATTTATTTACTACTACTCTACTAGAATAGTAAATAACTAATACTTAAATATTATTGTCATAATGTATGTGGGCCAAAAAATACTTAATTCTATTCCAAAGAAACAGAATATATTTCGCTTTCTAGTTTATACATTCCATTCATTCTTTAGAATAATAATGCTTGATAACTATTTAGTAATAACTTATTATCCGAGCAAAAATAAAATAAAAGAACTTTAACATGTTATAAAATAATGTTGTTTAAAGTAACTTTATTTATAAAAACGATTGTTAATAATTTTTTAGACCTATTTATAAGAAATATAATATAAATAATGTAAATACAAATGTTTCTTTTAGGAATTACTGTTAATTAATTCTAAAATCTTATTGTTTTGTTTTAAAAATATCAAATATTTAAATATATCAGAATTTCCTTTATCAGTTAAATTATTCGCCTCAGAAAACAATTTTTCACTTACAGTTGAAGTTGTATAGACAGCTAAATATTTCATAGCCAAAGGGAATAAAACAGGAAATTTTTCTTTTCTTTCTTTCCACCACGTGAATGGATTGCTTTCTAAATCAATTTCTTCTTGATCCCAATACTCAGTAATCTCGGCACACGTAGGTGGAACTGGTTTCTTTAAATTAGCCAATATTGAGCTTGTTCTTTTTTGACTTTGCTTATATTTGTGTATATGATTATCGGCTTCTATAATTGTTTCCATTTCTCTGTACTTTTCATATAATAAATCTTTAACAGCATTTACTTTTGGATCAGATACAAAGGATAATCTTTTTATTCTAGGATCAAAAAGGCTATAAAGAATTAATTTTGGATCTGAAATATCTCTCCAGTAATTGTCTATAGCAGCAGAGAAGGAGAGCTTTATTTTATCAATAAGACCATCACAGTTTACGGGTTCATCAATTTGAATTCTTTTATCGAAAGTTGATTCCTCATCTTCGAAATTAATTTCTACTGTGGTCACGCTTTCTGAACAAAATTTATTCTTAATTTCAAGTAATGCAGGATTTATTAAAGAATAAGTGCAATAGGCCCCTTCTCTTAAAATTTCAGTAATTTCCAAAAAAGGCCCTAAAAGCGATTTAAGATCCTGAATCAACTTCAGTTCATCTTGAGTCAGCCTAATTTTTTCATATTTTTCAGCAAGACTATAAGATTTCCAATATGTTGGAAATTTCATAATAGTGTATAAAAGATTTGCAGAATCCTATAATGAGTAGAGAATTATTACTAAATACAAATACAAGTTTCAAAAGTAATTTGATTATTAATATGAAAATACTTAATGCTCTTACAATATTTTCCTTAAATTCATTTTGATTCAAAAAATTTTCATAACGTTTTGCACGTTCTATTAATATTTCAGCTGGTTTCATTACCTTTTCGATTACTGAATGTAATGTATGTTTAGTGCAACCTAACCAATTTGTTTTTTCCATGTCAAGAATTGCCTTTTTTATATTACTTTTATTAGTAGTTGTAATAGTAAATATTAAATTACGAATTTTCCATCTAGATATCACATCTTCAAGAGCATCCAATATATGTTCTGAAGTATGAGGATATCTAACGAAAGCAACATCTAAGGTAACTTCACGTAATTCACATTTTTGATCCAAAAATGAGCATGTGATACCTAAATAACCTTGACGATTTTTAGCTGTCCAGATATCTACTGCCAGAGAAATAGATAAAGCTTCTTTTTTGATATATTGTTGAAGTTGTGAGAATGAGGAGTTATAGGATTCATGAATAATTGAATTTACAGATTCTGAACTTGGCATAATAAAAGCAGGATTAAGTTTATGAATAAATTGACGAAATTGTTCTCTTGCAATAACACTTATAAATTGAGAATCTACTATCATCAATTCAGTAAGTGATTTCCATGATTCTTCTTGTTCTTTTTCAGAATGTTTATTTGTACCAGATATCTGTTGTTTTTTGAAAATTTTATGCTATGAAACGGAAAGTTGAATCATACAATATCATATCAGATTTTTTTTTTTTTTTTTTGATATGTATTTTTATTAATTTTAAAAAATTTAATGCATAATGAATTGTTTTATAGATAGTAAATTTTCAGTTTTTGAATCAGAATTTTTTGGGTAAACACTTTATCAAAAAAGGCAAACTTTAGTACTTACCTTCCCATACCCGTTAACAAAAATGTCATGATAGTTTATCAAATGAATTATTATTGCATCTTTAATTTGTTTATCACTCACGTAAGTTTTTTCACATGGAGAATTACCAGGATTGTCTAATAAATTACAAACCATTTCTTTGCAAAGTGTACCATTTATTTCTTTTGTTACTGTGTTGTAATACTTTTGATACCATGGAGTACCTTATTTGAAACGAGAATATTAAAAATAAACAAATCTTGAAAACAGTGCATCTAAATCTTTAATTAATAAAGGCCGTATAATTAGCTATACTTACTATCAGCATATTTGCAAGCCCATTCATGGGCAGTAGCTTCATAACGAGTACTGTCAGTCTTATACACATGAGCAATTTCAGGTACAAGTGGATTATCTTATATTATTATTAATAATTATGATTAATCAATCAATCAAGACGAATGATAAATATGAATTATGATGTAATATATTATTACCTGTGTCTGGATTAATTACAAATGAATGAATTGACAGGAGTACTTAAAGAATGATGTTGATTAAAATTTTTTAGCATAGAAAATTGTAGATAATTAGGTAACACATTTATTTTTAAATTTTACCTCTTGAAATAGTAAGCGCTGGTGACCAACAATCTTTTAGAATATTCAGGCCTATATTTCCATCACTATTGATATTCGGATGATATATTCTTGTTGTAAAGTTAATCTAACATGAACAATATCTAAGTATATAATTAAAATATACAATACTGCATTAACAAAATGTACCTTTGGTGGTTTAAACGGATAATCTGTAGGAAAATGAATAGCAAGGAAAAACACGCCTCCTGAGTATGGTGAGTCAGGCTAATCAAAGTTACAGTAAGAGAGTGAATATTCTATATATTAATATAAAATTTGGTAAATAAACTAGCCAAAAAAAGTGCTTACAGGGCCTATGATTGTTGCTTGCCAATGAAAAAGATCATCACCGATAGGACCAGCACTACAATACAACGGTGGATCACGTCCTAAGTCGTACAATTCCTAGTAGGAGTAAAGAAAAGAAAATTATTAATTATTTTGTCAAAAGTCTCAGCTGAAAAATTTGTAGTAAAAAAAAATTTACGAAAAATAAATGAAACGCACTTTATTAATTCTTTTTATTGTTTTTGGGTTTGCCATTTTGTTTGTCAGGAAAAAAATAAAAATGGGGTTATCGTTGACAAGCTTATTTACGCTAAACTACTTTATTTGTATCACGAGCATCATTTTTTAATGAATCTTAAAAAAAGAATTTTCCTGATTTCTTATATGTAAATGTATGAATTTTTAACCATTTAGGGAATCGGATAAATGATCGGCCGATAGGCCGATTCTAAAGTAAAATTTTACTATCTGCTATTCCAATATAATTTTAATTATACGCTAATTTTGGAGTTCATCTTATTTTGAGCTTTACCGAATATTTCCGATTTCTTTAAATCAGCTGTAAAATATGAATATACGTGCCGGCAGTTGTGCTGGCCCGGACCCGGACCAGGATTTTTTTGTTTACATTTTTACCGTTTAAAATTTCATTATTTTAGTATTTTAGTGCTTTGAAGTCCAACTTTTTATTATTTTTTTTTAATAAAAACTAGCAGTGAACCGTTGCTTCGCATCGGGTTTAAGGTTTTTTAAGCAATATATTTATATATGATAAATTATGTGCAGATAATATATTGTATAAATGAGCAGAGATATGAATAAAAACAATCTATAGATTATTATAATGAAAAAAATGAATAGTGACTATGTGCTGTAATAGTATTTTTTTTATTTTACAATTAAATTTATTTTATTTTATTCTTATACTGAACGCTTTTATTGTAGTGCATTTATAAAAACAGTAATAGGATAATCTATCGAATCACATAAAATTTTTTTTAATATTTTTATAATAAAATAAGATATAAAAAATTAAAATTATTTTCCAAATTAATTTCTCTCTTTTATGAAGCTGTTTTCTTTGACAACATTTTGAATATCATTCACTATTATTATCTTTTCTGCTTTTTTCTTTAATTTTATTATTTCAGATTCTACATAAATATTTAATGATTTCGAAAAATTTGAGTTCTCTAATTCTTTTTTTGTTATATTCTCTTCAACTTTTTCCATATTTCCAATTTCCTTTAAGATGGAATTTTTCATTCTTTGGTCGATCACTGACCTTTTTCATGAAATCGAAATTTTATTTTTCGTCTCTTCTTATTAAATGTTTTAATAAAAAGTTGTTTCTTAATGGCAATCTGTGTTTTTGTGTAAAAAGACTTCATTTTTAACTTTTATTTTCATACTTTTGTAAATTATACAAACTATATTTTTTCTCTTTAAAAAAAAATTCGGTCAAGTTATCAACTATATGATAAAAAGATTTTGTGCGAATTAAAAAAATCTCATTTGAGAATGAGGGATTTGCTTAAATATAAAAAGAATGAAAAAAAATAAATATTTTATTTAATGTTTGAACCAAATTTTTTTGTTTTTTTTATTAGTGTTAGTTATAAATAAATAAACACGAATAATAAAAAAAAAACAATAAAAAGTCTTTTATTAGTCCTAATTATCATATTAATAATTAATAAGTAAAAAAAAATTCAACTTAAAATAACTGAAAAATAAAAAAATAAAAATAAAGTCAAGTTAAAAAAAAAATAAAAATTTTTAAAAAAATGTTGGCTTATAAAAAAAGAACAAACCGAAAAAAAAAATAAGCCGTATAAAAAAATCGGATTAAAAAAAAAAAAAGAAAATTGAGAAAAATAAATCATATTATTAATAAAAAAAAAATGATCTAAAAAACTGAAAAAAAAAAGAAAAATTTTTTGAAGTTCGGATACCCACATGATAATCTGATTGCATCGTCTCGAGCGAGCCAGAGGACCGGAAATAAATTTCATAAAAAAACAAATTTTGTATTTTATGTAATACGAAATTCGTGAATTTCAGCAATTCAATTAATATAAAATTCAAAATTTTATTAATCAAAGCTTAAAAGCTTACATGATAAGGTTAGCAATTGAATACAAATTAACTAATTAAGCTAATATCAATATTTAATGAAAAAGTTAATAAAGTTTACATACACTTTTTAATTTGATCATTAGTTCTAGTTGTTATTATGTTCTAGTATATTTATTTTCTATTTATTTTTATTAATAACAAACGAAAATGTTGATTCCGGCCGATATTATAATTTGGCCAGTGTTAAAAACTGCCGACTTCGTCGGGTCAGGCCATACGTGTCACAGGTCATCAAAATTATTTTTTTTTAAACTTTATTAGTATTATGATACTCGTGTAACACGAATAACATAAGATTGACATAAAAATACGTAGTATCAATAAAGTATCTACACTAAATATACGGCTAAAAACTTTGCTAGTCTAAACTAATCTAAAAGATCATTAAAATTATTAATACTGCCCCGATCTAAAAATCAAGTCGAGTCAAATTAACCCGGGTCGACTCGTATCTTTCGGAGCCCTTGATTGGTGACTGATATGCTACCCTTCTATTCAATAATTGTATATTATGCATGCCAACCAAGATTATCCCTAATTTTAACAGATTTTATAAAGTTTAATTTTTTTAAATAATTAACGTGTTATTTTTATACATAACCAATATTTTATCCACCCTTTTTACTGGCAAAAATAATGGCACAAATTTTGTTGGTAGTGATTTCCAGTTAAAATAAATTTTTATGATTTAGTTAAACATTAAAATTTATTCATTCACTATTGAAAATATCAGTATTTACATATAAAATAAATAAAGATAGTTTAGCCCGATTAAAAAAATCCGTGCTTACATTCAAAATAGATTGCCCAACCCATTGCAGACTTGCGGGACTCAAATCCGGGAGGTAATTCGCAGGAAATGATATCAAAGAGAGAAACAGCCTAATTAAAAAAACATTATTTAGAACTCAAAGTAATTAAATACTAGTTAAATTACATCATCGCCTACGTTTAAAAATTATGTAAAAATTACTTATAAGACAAAATAACTGTCTTTTGCCAATGAAAAAAATCATCCTCAAATGCTATTGATAAGTTAAAAGAAGTTCTTTGGAGAACTTGTATGGTGTACCGTTGGGACTTGGCACCAAAATTTCAAAATTTCAATTTTTATAATTTGTGATTTTTGGTCACAATGGTACAGTATACCTTATAACTAGGGATTGGAATCGAAAATCGAATCTTTTCAAGATTTTTCTTATAGACGACCAACCTGACTTTGAATCAGTTTCTAATTTCAGCAAAAATAATCAGCCCTTGGCCGGCATGAAAAATTACTTCGGAGAGGTTAACTTACATGTAAAAAATTGCTGAGAATCGATTCTCGAGAATCGATTTTACTATGTTTTGTCGATTTTCGATTAATCGATTCCAATCCCTACTTATAACTCACGTTTGCAGGTGATAGGTCACTGTATACAAGCCTTTTCGAAAAATTGTAATCCTCGAATTTTTACGTTATTCATAGTTATCATAGTTATCAGAACAATTTTCCAAAATTCCTTGCCAAATTATTTTACTAAAAAAAAAATAAATAAATGGCCTAAAAAAATTTCTTTCCAAAATAAATATCGAGCTGATCACCATAATAGCGAACAAACAAATTTGATAATAGTTAGATTCAAGATTTTATTCAATAATTTCATGTAAAGTTCAAAAAAACCCTAGTCTGATTATTCTCATGTTTATAAATTTATAATCGTTTTATAATTATTAACATTTATATATATCATAAATTTAATTATGTTCATAGTCATGAGCAATTTCAAGTAAAAATGGATCATCTATTAACATTAATGTTTTATACAAGTCCTAATAATATATATGTAAAGAATAAAAAAGGAATAAATTAATTAGTTGCAATTAAAAAAAGCTTATATTGGTAAGAATCAGAGAAATCAGTCAAGGAAATGACCGAATATGATGATAGTATAATCAATTCATCAAAATATTCAAAAAAAAAATATATGGTAACAGTGAAAATTATCATATGAATTTTTTAAATTCGAATGATTTTAAATCTTCACATTATCCGATAGTTTTTGATACTGAGCCGCATTTTTAGTCAAAACATTAAAAAATTCACCCGATGTTTGAGAAAAAATATTACAAAGAAATAATAATAATTAAATTTATAGATGAACCCGATATTTAATTAATAAGCAATATTCCAAATATAAAGTGAGAAGTGAGAATAGCTACAAGAATAAACGAGTGAAATAAATAAGTTTATTAAGTCAATTAGCAATAAGTTAAGGTCGGTTGACAAGTAAAATTGTAAATCATAAATGCGAGAAAATTTGATGATATTATAAAGTCATATGATTAGATTGCTTGTTTTTGGGCAATTTGTGAAGTCACACGTTGAGTTCGCGTAGAGCTATTATAAAAATTCGACCTTTCTTGTTACCTATATTTGTATTGCTCAGGGTTCTAGTATATGTTATCAAAAGTATAATTAAAAAAAAAAGAAATTCTTATTATCTATATTATACATTAAACTTTCTCAATATATTTAAAAATAAACTTGAAATTCATAAAAATTTAAAATTTACCTATATATAAATATGGTTGTAATGTAAAGAGTAAGTTCAAAAAGAAATTATTTAATAGATTAAATGAATAATAATTAATAAGAGTTATCCCTTAAATGATAGCCATTGTTCTAAATTCCGCGGAATTTTCAGGATTTCCGCAGAGGATTCCATGGAATTTCATTGTATTACAGTTTAGATCGGCACATCAGTAGTGGTAAATCGCAGCCAAATTTAGCTGCAAAACACTAAGGGATAAGAAATTGAATGTATCATGTAAATCAAGATAATGTAAATCAAGATATGTAAAGGTAAAGAAAAAAGAGGAGCATAAAAAAAAAATTACAAAAAGCACTTCACTTTTCTCACAATAACTTCATTTGTTGAAAGTTACTTGCTGATCGTTAAGTACGCCTTTTTGATTACATTATGGCCAAAGCCATAATGCCGGTCAAAATAGCCACAAATGCAAAATCAAGAAATTCCTAACATTATTACAATATATATATATATATATCATTTTTAAAGACCAGGAAAAGTCTCATATAGGCAATGTGAAGCCAAAAAAAAAAAAAATTACTATTAGCTCTAATTTAGGCCGTAATTATAAAATGCCGGCCAGTATCTAAAATGGAAATAATTTCCTGTCTAGAATTATCAAAAATTATACATAAA